CTCCTCACAACATGTCCAAAGTATGTTAGACGGAGCCTCAGAATCCTTGCCTCCAAGGAGCCACCCGGTTTAACCCTTTCCAGGACGAATCTGTTTGTTTTCCTAGCAGGCCATTGGTATTCTCAATACTCTTCTCCAGCACCACATCTCAAAGGCATCAATTCTCCTTCAATCCTCCCTGATCATTGTCCAACTCTGATGCATAACAGGTAAGGAAACAAAATAAACTGATACAGCAGTGTATGAGATGGTGCTACCTGCTGGACAAAAGAGAAAAGCTGGAGAAGGAAGGTGTGGGAGGAAGTCATAAGGATATCTGGGGAGACTAGCGGCCCAGGCTGGGGGAACAAGTGCGAGGGTCCTGAAGAAGTGGAATGAGGGGAGCTCTGGTAGCCTAATGGCAGGAAGCTGTACTGCAATCCCCAAGGTTTGCAGTTCAAATCCACCAGGTGCTCTGCTGGAGAAGGAGGGGCAATCTCCTCCTGTACCAGTCAGACCAGATTTGACGGTACACACAAAAATAATAAAATAAAATTTTAAAAAATTGAAAAAAGAAAAAAAAGTGGAATGAGCATGGGTGAAGAAGGTGACAGGTAGGATGTGGGAGACTGGCTAATTCATCTGGCTCGGTAACAAGCACCCTGTTCTCCATGTCCACCTTCCCCACAGATCCAGCCATCGTCAGTCGAATCTGTGGCTTTTCTGTTCAGACCCTGAATTCCTCCACTGGTCCCCAACTCTCATTTCAAGACACGTACACCTGAATTTCCCCTCTCCCTCTCAGGCTGTACTCGCCATAGCCGCCAGGGAGCGCCAGGTCCCTTCCCTCCTTGGCTCACAGCCCTGAATTCCTTCCACTTAGAGACAAAGCCCAAGTCGCGTGGCCTCAAGCCTGCATGACCCTCCTCACACACACCCTCATCTCCTAGAGAGGTGTGACAGGGAAAAAGACAGGATCCATGCCTGTGTGGACACCAGGGTGCGCGAGTTCAAGCATGGTGGAATTTAGTACAGGCAGAGGTGATATGGAAATTAGCCACGAGCACGTCATTTCAGGGCTCAGCTGAAGCATCCCCCCTTCAGGAGCCCTCTCTGCCCACTTCATTTAGTTACCCCTCCTAAGACCACCCTATTTCACTCTCTCTGATTATCTGCCATTCCCTGCCTCCTGAAAAATACCAACCCCCCTAATGATGTGGTGGTATTGATAAGCTCAGAATTCTCTATGTATATCAATTATGGAACTATAGTTATATAGTTATAAAACTGGCATCATCAACAAACGAATGGATAGAGACGCTGTGGTATATTCACACAATGGAATACTACGCTGCATTGGAAAACAAGGAACTCATGCAATATTATTCAAAATGGGTGACCCTGGAGGACATTATGCTGAGATACTTCTATCTCAGTCACAAAGGACAAATACTGCATGGTGCCACTGTTGTAAAACAGGACTGACCTTGGGGTTGGGGAGAGACTGAGAAAGATGGGTTCAATAATGTATACTGAATTGAAACAGATGAGGGAGAAAACTGTTTAAAAGG